TAAATGTGTTTATGCCTTTTCCTTTTCATTTGTAATCCAGATACCTGCAGAATACTCTAGATATATCAAAAAGAATAAAATTACCTAATGTCTCCATTCAATCAGTGAATGAACAAACCCCTTTGTATCTATTCAAGAGTGCTGATTACCATCTCTGTTTCTTTAAACTAAAATTACTTTTGGTAGTAGGTGAAGGGGATGATGAAAATCATTTGATCTATTTATGATTCTAGTTTTTTTCTCTCTTATAATGTGATTAAAATTGAATGTTATAGATCCTTTTGCTTTAAAATTAAGATGGAGAAAATCATTTTTAAAGAAAACTTAAAAGGTATGCTTCATAACCCATTTATAAGCAACATTTTATTTTTAAAATGATGAAGACATCAAGGGAAGGTTTTCATTTTTCACCTGTCTGTATTTTAATATAATTTGATTATCAAATAAATTTATATACTTCAAGTTGCATTGATGAATTTGGTATTCTAACATTGTTTGAAATATTTCAAGCATTCTCAGATCTGTATAATGGAACCTGGGCTTCTCCCTCCTCTATTGTCCTATGTTACTAGATCATTATGCAAGTGTGGAATGGAAGCAAAACCACTATGTTCAATGTCTTAAAATGGCTAACTCATTCATATTAGTTGGCAAGTTGAAGGTTGGCAGCAAAAATAGCAAAAATGAAAGTCAAGTGAAAACATGTAGCATGTTTGCTACCACGTATCCAACACCCAGGCTTCTCTCACTCTCCTGTCTCTTGGTAGATACTTAGGCTGTAAGGTGTAAAACTGCCTCACTTCAGACTTACCATTTCAGGAATTTCAGTGTGTAAAGTCCTAGTTATAACCTGGCACTGGCCCTGCCACTGAATATTTATCATGGAGTAGACAAGGACAAAATAAAACATGAAAGTTTCCACTAAAACAACAACAACAACACAAGTGGGTAGCTATGTGAGATGACAGATATATTAATTTGCTTCTCTATAATCGTTTTACTCTCTGTATCTTATAATATCATGTTATATAACATAAATGTACACAATAAAAACTATTTCAAAACAACAACAAAAAACAAAAACTAAAGAGATCTGGCATTTTATACAAGTAACCTGTTTAAATCTGTATCTGATAATCTGCCAGATAACCAAGCTTATTATTCATCCAACATATGATAAATGACCTACCAGGCATTAGAATACTTACTTTCTTTTTTTGTTTCTAGCATTATCATAAAAGTGAAATGACATATGTCTTTAGCTTATAGCACATATTTCTAAAATAGATTTCCTTTTAATAATTTTAGTTAAGGCCTAAAATCAATAATCATACCTCGATATACAGAAATCTTTACTAGCAACACATTTGTGTAATTCTTATTGAGGAGATAATCAACTAGATCTTGCCCAAGCAAAACACTGTATGCATTTCCAGAAGTTTGCTGAGATCATGGAGAAAACTGTGATTTTCCAGTAATGTTTGCACTATATGGCACCAAATCTAGTCATAGCAGTTTTGTCAGGGTTATTACATGCATGATATGGCTCCAAGTATCACCATCTACCCTTTCAGAAACAAGCTAAGATGTGTTTTTGAACCAGATTTAATTGTAGCATAGTGTACATGATTTTTGTCTCATAAAGCTAACAAGGATGCTGAGAATGCAGCATGGTCTAATGTTTGAGATGGTCTTTGCTAAGAAAAGAACAGACTCTGAGCAACATCCAGTATCCATGGTAACATGTAGCCTGGCATTTTCTTTTCACAAAGAGGAAATTATTTCCATTTATTTACACTTTCAAGGATTTCATGCATTATAATATCTGCATTTAACTCAAATCTAGCCTTGCCCTATGTTCCAAACTGCATTTTAGCCATTTTGCATTATGTAGTAAATTGGTTTCCAGATTAGAAAAACACTCTTAATCCAAGTAACAATGAATAATATAAAATCAAATAGAATTACTGATATCAATGACATATGACCTTATTTCTTCTTGGATGAAATGTGAAGGCAATAGTCAGAGTTAAAAATCATGTTATATTGTTGCATTTTGCTCATTACAACATTTTGGTTAATGGAATTTTCAAGTTCATGTACAGTTAATCCATTAAATAACTGACCCTGTTAGAGAATTTTTTTCCCACTTTTATATAGAGTTTTAAAATATAAATTGAAAAAATAATATGATTCTTCTTTCTTCTCCTCTGCCCCCACGTACCCTTCCTTGTCCTCCTCTTCCTTGTTATCCCTCTCCTTTCCTCCGCCTCTTCCTCCTCCTTCTCCACAGTCAAATGCATAAGTAAATCAGGACTTTTCATCAAGTGCAGATGAATAGTAAAAGAAGAAAGCTGGAGTAATGATCTAACACTGCTGCTGGGAGAGGCCAGCCCACTGGCCTTTACCTTTCAAAGTCGAAAGGGCAGCTAGTATTCACTGATAACAAATCACTTGCTTTCTTCTCAAACCTCTGGGGCTGTTTTCCTGTACAGAGCCCAGCTCCCTAATGAGAGATCTGTAATTAAAATCCTCCATGTTGTGGATCCAGTGGATATAGGCAGACTTTGGTCAGCAAAAATGATCTGCATAGTCTGGTTTCCCTTTGACATTTAATACAAATGAAAGCAAAAAACTCCCTATGCCCTGCAAATATGGACAGATACATAACATTTCTACTACATAACCAGACTCGGAGGTTTTCCTTTTTCCGTCAATCTATGTCAATCTAGGGGACCCTGGGATTTCCTCCATTCCAGGGATACACAGAATGTCCTCCCCAACACTTCCATCTTTGAATTGCACCTCTTCTTCTGTCTCCATCAAAAAGCTACAATGTGTAAGCCCACCCCATTTCAGGCTTTAACAGGTTGGAATTAGCATGTGCCTGTCTCTGGCCATGGGAGCAGAGTTGTATAAGGAGCTGGATTAAGAGTGAGTGTCCCTCTTCTCACTTCTCAATTCTGCCACTGCCATCACCTGACCAGGTACATATAGACAGGTCACTTCACCTCTTGAGGTCTTCATTTTCTATTCTTAGATGATGGAAATTAGACCAGATGATCTGTACTGTGGATCTCACTCATCTTAGGGTCCCTTAAGTTCTAAACTGTCTAATATTTTAATAAGCTGTTTCTATATTCCCCACATCAAACAATAACTCCCCACATCTGGAAAATCAGTTGGTTAAAAATATATCTATTAAAAATCCAAATGAACTGACCACACAGGAGCCTGCACATGTATGCTTATATCAGTATTATTCATAAGTGCCTAAATTTAGAAACAACCAAGATTTGCTTCAATAGGTGGACAGATAAACAAACTATGGTATGCAATGGAATAGTATTCAGTGAGAAGAAATAAGTTGTCGACCATGAAAAGACATGGAGGAACATTAAACACATTCTTCTAAGTGAAAGAACCCAGTCTGAAAGAACTCTATACTGTACCATTTCAGCTATATGACATTTTGGAAAACGTAAAACTAAAGAGACATTAAAAAGACCAGTGATTCCCAGGGGTAAAGGGGCAGGAAGAGAGGAATGATCGATGAAGCACAGGAGACTTTTAGGGTAGTGAAACTATTGTGCGTGATACTGCAGCGGTCGATAGATGACATTATACATTTGTTAAAACCCACAGAACCCATAATGCAAAGAGTACACTCTCATGTAAACAATGGACCTTAGTTAATAACAATGTATCAATATTGGTTAATCAATCCTAACAAATATCTCACACCAGTGTATGATGTTAATAGCAATGGAAACTTTAGGGTAGCAGGAGGAAGCACATGGAACTCTGTGCTTCCTGTCTGATTTTTCTATGAATCTAAAACTGCTCTAGGAAATAAAGTCTCTTAATTAGAAAAAAAAAAAAAAATACCGGATTTTAATCTTTCCTTAACAAGAATGGAGATTTATACAGTCGTTCCAGAAAGACATCATCTCTTAACATATATCTCCTTGTTAGGCATCCTGACTAGTGAAAGAGAAATTTCAGGATCCCACACATATAAAGTAAATTGGACACTGATGGGGCCTAGACCAAATCCTGCTTCTCATATACTGACTTCTCTGCCTAACTAAAAAGAATTTAGGGTAACTCTCAGTTATAGACTGAATTGTGTCTGCCCTAAAATTCATATGTTGAAGCCCTAACCCTCAGTGTGTCTGTATTTGGAGATAGGACTATTAAGGGTGTAATTAAAGTTAATGAACTAACAAGAGTGGGGCCCAAGTCCAATATGACCGGTGTCCATATAAGAAGAGAAAGAGACACTGGGGTGCATATGCTCAGAGAAAAGACCGTGTGATCAAGGGTGTTGTCTGTAAGTCAAGAAAAATAGCCTCAGAGGAAACCAAGCCAGCTGACTCTGTGATCCTGTATTCACAGCATCCATAATTGTGAAATAATAAATTCATGGTGTTTAAGCCACCCATTCTGTAGTGTTTTGTTATGGCAGACCTAACAGACTAACATACTTCCACTCTGGTATTTTGATTTAAATAACTCCCATTGTAACCATCATTAAAGAATTTCATTTTCTAATTATTTTAAATTTAATTCTTCATGCTGACCTGAAAATGAGATCTTTGATTTTTGCATTTTTTTTCAGAAGTATAATTTTATTTTTTTCAAATACATAATGACACCAAACCAGTACCATAAGCATTATGTTGCAAGATTTCTCAGTGAATAGATGTCTGACTTGTGTGGTAGTTCACAGTATAAGTTCTGGGCAGAGACAGATTGTCTTAAACATTTTATGTTCTTTAAATTGTTAAATATACCACAAAATACTATATACAAGATTCTTGAAAAATAGCCATTGATTGATCCAAATGTTAGCAGCTTAAGAAATTTTGCTAAAAATTCATTACGCCTATTCTTATTAGAATCTTTACTATTTTTAAAAAAATCCTCTTTTGTAACTAATAAACAGAAAAATAAATTTCAAATTTTAACTAATGAAAGTTAATATTTTTCAAACTTACCTTGTCTGAATGTGAAAGTTGTTTGTGGTTCCTGTATGCTCATAATCATGAATGGCAGCAGCAAAGACCATTGCTAAAATTTCCAGTTCAGTGAGCCAGTGCTAGTAGATTAAAGAAAGAATCCATTATATTCAGGAAGTAGATACCATCTTTCCTTTCTTTTACAAAGATTTTCAGTGCACCCTGTATATGTAATCATATAAAATTGTTATTTCTTTATTTTCCTATTTTACCTCCATTGATTGTGCATGATGGATGCTTTATGAGGTCAATGATTGTTTCACAGCTTATAAGTTGAAAATTCAGGATATAATTGTCCTTGCTAATTGAAAACGGAGTAGTTTTCCATGAATTAAAAGGTGAACGCTAACTGGATTTTGAATTTACAGCCATATCTGTTTGGGTTCTTTTGAAATCAATTGCAGTTTAGTGATTTTTAACATATAGCTCATACATCATTAAAATGTCTTTTAGTTCAAGTGTTGTAGAACAATCTAGTATGAAACAAATTTTCATCTAAAAATTAAAAATATTCACTTTTCTCACTAGAGAAAGTACACTTTATTTTCATATTTAAAGATTTAGAAAAGTTTCTGGAATTCACAAAATTTTCTACATATAACACATAAAAATGGTTGTGCAATTAAATTTAATAATGCAAAAAGAAAGAAAAAATACTTTCATGTAAAATCCATGACTATCTGCTTTATATACATTCATCTTTCAGTTACTAATTAGATGCTTTAATAAAAGTTACCTAGTATTATTAGTTCATTTAGAAGTAATTCAATAGTTTATTCATCACTCACATTTTGTAAAACCCTTATACTGCACTGGACAGTATGATAACCACATGTGACTATTTAAATTGAAAATAAAGAAAATTAAGTAAAATTAAACTCACTTCCCCGTTACACTAGCCACATTACATATGCCCATGGTTATATGTGACAGGTGGTTACCATGTAGACATAAAACACCGGCATAAAACATTTCCATCATCACAACAAGTTCTACTAGACAGCACTATAAATAAATGGCACTTGATGGTAGGAATGGAGAATCCAAATGCTATGAAGCTCACTCTGAGTGGTCTTATTCTATACACCTAAAACAGTAAAAGACCTTGCACAAAAAAACAGAAAGAGATCATGTAAACTATATGCACACTCAATAAAAGTTTGCAGAATAAGATGCAATTTAAGAACATAGACAGAAGGGCTATTTCGTGGCAGTGGATCTTGGAAAAAGGATGGAAAAACATTGATAGCTAAGTGCAACGATGGAGACATAGTAATTTTAAATAGAAAGAGCAAATGTCGAATCATACTATAGGGTCTATATTAAAATAGAATTGTCAATAGTACAATTGTGTTAGAGAATCAAGCGAAGTGTAATTGAAGAGTATGGAGGGTATGGAAAGAGTTAATGGACTATGTTGATGATAACTGATGAATTTAGATTTTGTATAAAATATTAAAGAAAGCCATTTTAGGTCCATGAATCAAAAATGAACGCAGTGGCAATTGAATTGCATAGGTATGAAAGATATGGTCTTATTAATCTTAGCTCCCTTTACATAACCTATCATGATATTTGGCACATATTAGGAACTTACTATTTGTTTGTTAAATTGCAATTCACTATTTTTGCATTAGAAAGAAGTAACAGTGATAAGAGACCATGGAATCAGTCCTGGTTTAAAATCTCTGTTAATCCTCAGGAAAATAAGTTATTTATCCTCTCAGCTATAGTTCTGGTGAAAATGGCAATACTGATCTTTCCCCTTTGGAGTTGAAGAAGAAGTTTTGAGTTCATGTATGCACTGTGCCTATCATGTCTTGTCATATGGTAAAATAAAGAATAAATGGCATTTTGCTGAACTTGTGTTAAATGTATTGATTAAGGCATTAAATCGGGGAAATAATAGCTAACATATCATTAGCGATTGTAATTATGTATAAATGCCTCACAGTTGGATGAATGAAGCAGAAATAATTTTCAGAACCAAAGGCAGTTTATATAATTAGCTGTTCTGTGTTCACAGATGCATTTAATTGTGTGTCATTAAAAGGACGAAAGTGACCTTATGTTGGTTTATATTATAGGCTGAATTGGGACTGAGCCTCCAATGTTCCCAATGAAACTACACAACTGAACACCATGAAATGAATAGCAATTGAAGTTAAACTAGTTTTGTACCCTAGAAAACCATTGTTTAATTGAAGAAAATGGTTTCTTTAAAAAAATTACTTATTTTCTTTAAATTTTGGGGGGTGTTCAAGTTATGTATTTATAAATGTAACTGCGGTTTTTTTTAAAAAAGCAGCATTCAGTATCTACTAAGCTAATACAGAATATAAAGTGTCAATAGTAAAAGGAAATTATAAAATCAGAGATGGAATTAATTAGTGATTGACTCATAAATATTTAAAATTATTATCTTGGTAGCTGTGAAAATTTATTGTAAATACATTTCCTGTTTTTATTCTGGTTAATTTCTGCCTCTCATACATAAATACTACTTTCTCCACAAATCTCCCTTTCTTATTTTGCACTATGGCCTAAATCATTAAATTCTACTACAAACTAGTATAGGAAGAGAGAAACACTGAACTTTAACACTTAATTTAAAAACACATCTACTTTGTATTAGCAAATGTAGAATTCTGGACTGATTGTTAGCTCCTTAGCTGCTGATTCATTTTGTACTGGTATCAAAAAGAATTCTAACTCAGAAAACAGGTGCTTAAATTCATAGATTTTATAAATGACTCCTGAGGGCAAGCCAGATAGAATGAGGCTAAATCCTGTCACTCTTCCCAACTATAGCAGTGGTCAATACAAATCCAAGGTTCTTCTGATTCCTAAGGGGCAGAAATAAAGGGATAAGTCATGAGCAATGCAGACATTGCATTTAATCAGAATGGTAGCTTGCATTTTGTTTGGAGAAGTGCTCCAGTAGGCTTACTCTAGAGTGGGCAGTCATCAACTTATAAGGAGTATTGACTGCTACTGACAGCATATATTATGACAGAAACAAAGGAAGGGAATTAACATTCACTGGACACTTGAGTTAGCTGGTCTCATTTAATTCTTATAACCATTTTATAAGGTGGTTATGGATAAATATTTTTATATCTATGTTGCAGATAACAAAATTGAATCCTAGATAACTGGATCAACATTTCAAAGATCACATATCTATCTAGCGGAAGGGCAGGAATGCAAACCCAAATCTGTCTGATTTCAAAGTTTCTATTTCCTCCACAGATCACAACAGCATTTACCACATAAAGAAGGCAATATGCTGAACACCTTCTTCTAAAGTTTCAAAAGAAGAATTTCTAGATAATTTTACTATATGAATGGGTAGAAGCAAATAGAGTTTTGATTTAGGACTTACAATGTAATTTTCATATCTGAATTACTCAGGATGCGTGTCTATGTGCCTGTGAGATAGAAAAACTATCTATGTGTATTATATATAAAGGGGGGAGAATTTAAAGTCAGAAAAACACAATTATTTCTTAATTTTTTATGTATCTAAAAACACATAATTAACAAGTCTTTTAGCCAGAATTTATGAGGTTGGGCACTATTTTTCTCTAGTAGTTTGTTGTAAGTTACCAGTATAGAAAATTGGCATATACAATTAATTAATTAAGGTATGTTAATAGCTATTATGTTTTAGGTACTAGGTTAGGTGCTTTACAAATATGATTTTATTTACTTTTCATTGCCATTCTATAAGGTGACTGACTTTATTAACTGCATTTTAGTGACAAGGGAAACAACATAGGGAGCTAGTGAATTAGAAAGTGGTGGGGCATGTTTTCAAACCTATGTCTGACTGCTCTCTGAGTCCCTACTCTCTTTCCTCTTCCGAACAGTATCATATAGGAGCCATTTATAAGAACAGAATTTCCACATAATTTGTAGAAAGACATAGGGCTAAATGTTTCATAGATTGATCAGAGAAAGATATAGTCATTCCAAAGTGTGGAAGACTGTTTCTGGGTATAGTCAGTGCACTGAAAATTCCAAAGGAACTAGATTTAAAGTCATCTCTCTTCCTTCTACTCTTAGTATTAGAGAGAACACAGTGCCAGGATGCAATGTTTTCTGGACAAGGTCCTTGGATAATTTCATATTCAAAGAGACATTTGAAGGTGGCTTGACAGCGCTTTATAAAGCATTTGCTCTTTAGCAAATGGACTGAGTTACTGTGCATCACTGTCACCACGGCACAGGACTACAAACGAATCAAGTGACAAAGGAGAGCTCTAGAGAGGGAGACAAGCAGGTGTATGAGCATCAACTCTCCTTTGCATTGTCTACTCCCAGACTTGAGGGCGTCCCTTATGACATTAACAAACAGAAGGACAATGGCTTCATTGCAATCCCTTTCAGGCAGCAGTCCTTAAAACATCTTGCAGATGACAAGATGCATTAGTCTCCTGACAGTACTGGGCTGCTACTGGAGTGCTTCATAAATGTCACACTGATAGGGCCATCCTGAAATAGCAGGTCATCAACTAAAACACTAACGTAGATGACCCAGTCTTCTTTATATCAAATCTGAGGGGTAAGAAAGAACTAAAGAGTTTTTGCTAATGAAAACTTTTATAATCCTTTTTTGTTTCAGAGAACCAACACATTCATATGCATGAAATTTGTCACCTATCACCACTTTTTAATGTACACAAAACTTGTTAAAATAACTTTCCAAAAACTGTCAAGCTGCAAGTACAACCTAGTTCTGACAAAATAGTCAAAACATTCATAAATTCATTTTGTCTTTCCTTTCTCCGTCTATGGTAAAATTTCTCATTATTTTCTTTAGTTCAAATGTATTTTCTTAATTCTGGACAACACTAAAGGTCTACCACCAGACTATTTTTGTAACAGCCAAATTAATGGACAAGTAAAGAGCCCAGTGACACATTTTTGCTAAAGGATGAACAAAATCAGAAAGTTACATTTATATTTGTTAAGTCATGGCTGTCTCAGAAAGTGACTATGTGACCTTTGCTAACAACTTTAACTTTCTAGGAGTCATGCCAGGCTGGGCCAAATTCCCCAGTCTTACAGAGAAGTTGGAATGGCTTCTTTGGTCCTGCAACAGTCTCCTTTATAAGTCTGAGGGTAAAGCCACATTGTGGATTTGATTTTCTCTATTTACCCAGTAATATGACACCTGCATCTCTTCAATGTCACCTTTACACCAGATGTCCTGAAGCTGATATAGGAGACTTTTATTTGGCTCCCTTTACACTTGTAGCAAGTGTAAAAAAATGTACTCTAGCAGAAACGTATTTGAAAATGATGAAATTCTGGTTACTTCCTAAGCTGAAAAGGCATTTTTTTACTGCACTTTACAATTAAAGCAGGTGCTAAGATTTCGAAATCTCACTCGGCCTGCTCCTTTTTGAACCCAGCTCAATTTGGCAGCTTCACAGGAAGGTCAGCTTCTCACATTTTACCTTCTTGGAATCATCCTGAGTTCTAAGACATTACAAAAATTCCCAACTCTCTCAGAGTTCCTGTCATACACTCACCGTTATTTCAGGCTTTGTACTGCTGAATCATGTAGTCACCCATTCATTGATCCATCAAATGCAAAGAAGAGGAAGGATGATTTGGAAAAATTCTCATGAATAATTTCCCCAAATCCATATTAGAATTTGACTGTGATTAGCAAAACAAGTAAGAGAGCAAAAGCGACTAAGTTCAGGTTAGGAGCACATGATGAGTGAGAGAAGAGTGCTATAACTTTTATTCTAAAGACTTTCTCTAGCTCGCTTTTTTTGGTTGATTCCTATGGAAAAAAAGGATTTACAAACAAAAATGTTCTCTAGTCCAAATTTTGGAAAAAATATATTTTTATTTGCCTCTGGTTATCTTTTTTGCACTGACTTAAAATATTTTTTGAAAAATGTATATTATAACTCATTAAACTTCAAAAATCCAAGCAATTATTATTTATAATACTTCTTACTTATAAAATGTCTATGGGCATTAAAAAGACAATAGGAGCTTACAGGAATGGAAGTTAATGCTTCCAAACTAACAAACTCCAGTTACAAAGACTTTCTTACCATGATACCTGTATGAAGCATTATGTAATGCACAGTTTGAGTGACATCAGCTGCATGAATCAAATTGTGATATGGATTTTTGTACTTGCTGTAACCAACTTCTAAAGCTTCTGCAAAGGAGATTAGGCAAGAAACAGGAATCTGTGGAAAGTAATAATCACAATTATATTTTGACAAAAAAGTGGTACTAAATCAACTTGAGCACAGTTTGTCATGGAACATATTCGTGAGTCAGATATGGACCGTAGCTTCTTTATGTCAAATGTACATTCTTCTGAAAAACCACTTCATAAACATGTTAGCTTTCGATCCCAAAAAGAAAGATTATAACCCCCAAGTATTTAACTAGGACAGATGAAGTAATAGCCTTACTCACACTATAGCCTTGAAATTTTAATATCTTCCAGAGAGTAGGAAGACCAGTTCTTAAAAGGATAAACATTTCCAGTTACAATTAGTAGAGTCTAGTTCTTCTATCTTAATACAAAGAGGTTAAAATGGATTACTTCCCAGTACTTTATAGCTCTAACAATGTGGTGATTCTACAGGAAATGAAGAAAGTAATAAGCTACAGACTGCTCAGTAGTCTGTAACAAATCTATTGCTTGGATGGATCTAAATGAAGTTAATTAGAAGCCCCTTCATTCTAATTTAAGAAAACCTGGCGATAAAAGTTCATTCTATGTTTTAGGAACACTAGAGATTGTCATAGTTCTTTAAGACATAGCTGCCAATCCCTATGTGAGTGTTTTGTAAATAAGTCAGGGGATGCTGGCATCTTGCTGGAATGAGCCTATACTGGCCTCATGATCTCTAGGTGGATATACAGATGTGTCAGTGAGTTGTGGAGAATGGTTCTATCATGTGGTGACCTCATCCCTGTAATTCTGTGACCGGCTAACTAAAACATCCTAAAATGGATTGCTTAATTACTCAATGTTCTGAATTTTCATTCTTATTCAAATAACCAATTCTAAGAGCATTTCACTTTTGTTCCCTGTTTCTGACCTTAAAACGGTTGATAAGATCATATCTGGTAAACAGTTCATAAATCATAAACTTCAGACTATGCTCTCCACTTGCTTCATTTAGGGCAAATACATCGAAAGACCATTTATCAACATCCTGTAGAAAAAATAATAAACATTTTAGGTGCCAATATCATACTGTTTCTCTTTATGATAATTTATTCAAAAGATAAGCCATTGTACATTTAGCAGGTTGTCTTTCAATTTAGCATGTCAAACAACACTTTGACCAACAGTTTCATAGGACAGGACCACTTAGTATCCATGGGTCCACAAAAGTGAGGCCCTAATGCTTAATAAAGCACCAAAACCTTTTCTTTAATCCCAAGGTTACTAAACTGATTTAATACATTTGATAACACCATAATACTGCCCTTATCTTTAATCTTTCTCCAACTTCCTGCCATAAATCATTTCCCCAGAGTGGGCCTCAATTTAGGATAGAATTGCTAGTTACACAGATGATGTCAATTGGGAAATACAGAAGAAATAATCTCAGTTTCTCTTTCTTACTCATGTGCTACATTGCTTGAAATTTCACCATGAGAGTCTGCAATTTGGCAGAAAGTTTTGATATTCATGTCCTGTTTTAAGCTGTAAATACCATAGAGTGGTAGAGTATATACTGTCTTTAATTATTAAAAGGTGTTTTTATTTTACGCTACTTTTCACCTATTATTATTTGCTCTATCTTTGGCTGACTTATTAATAATTTGCTTAAGGGACAGGTGGTGAGAAAAAGGAAGTGGGCCTTTTAATTGAGGAAGAAGATAGTAATACTTGCATTTCATGCAGTTCCCAAGGTAAATAAGCAGGCTAGTGGGGAAATTGGAAGGTACCCCCTAACAGTAAGAGAGAGCAGTGGGTAGAGACATAAACTGTAGCTGCCTCATGATTTTGCTTTAAAAATCTAAAGAAGCACTGTAGTCCATTCCAATGGTTATCAGAAACAGCTAGCAAGAAGGCCTACTGTTTATAAACATACAGTAGGTTTAGTATTGAACAGTAAGTGGGCAACCATAAAGCTATGCATTAATTTGTATTCGAGTAGGCATGTTTCAAATTTTATTCATTTAACACATTTTTATGGAGGCCAACTCTATGTGCTATAATATGCTAAAACTAAACTAAAAATCTGATAAAAAGTATTCAGTCTTTTTTAAAAATGCTTCCTTCAAAAAAGAATAGTGAGAGCTTCAAATGGTATTTTTAATCACTTGAAAACAAACACCAATGAAATAGTTTCTGGTTTGCTTGTATGTCATTATTAAATTCCTTGCATTTGGCCCTTATTTGATCCCCAAATGCTTGTTTTATCTCTTTATACATTAAAAGTTATTATAAGTTCTGTTAGAAGGCATTTTACATCAGTAAATCTCAAAGGAGGCCAACAAATCTTTTATCAAACTCCAAAGCTAACAAACAGGAATTAGCCCAGACTCTTAGAAGGCTGCTATTTATATTTACAGTTCCAACTTGGGGGTTCCCAATGGGTAAAAGGTTAATTCTTTATTTCTTGAGAATTTTTTTATAAACACTGATGATTTACATTTGTAAACTACTGCAGATGCTTGGCTTTTATGTCATCAGATTGAGAACAAACAAGACAAGGAGGCTTCTCAGAAAATAAGAATTATTTAACTAAACATTCTTTACTTGGTGATATTCCCTCTCTCAACCTGTTAGTTTATATCTTTTTACTATATGACATTTTAGAAAAAATACTACATTCTCTCATACTAAGATATTTTGTTAGTTTGTTTTTAAGCAAATATTCTCAATATAAATAAAAATGAGCAATTTTTTTTCTCATTTTTAAGGAAATAATAGAGAAGGAAAAATCTCTCAAGAACCAAGGAATGATTAATATCCTTTAATGCAGCAGTCCTCAACATTTTGGCTAGTTGTGTAAGCAAATTTTTCCACAGACTGAGTTGGGGTAGGATGGTTTTGGGATGAAACTGTTCCACCTCATAAGGAGCACACCACCCTTGCACTCACAGTTCCCAACAGGGTTTGCGCTCCCAAGAGCATCTAATGTCCCCTCTGATCTGAGAGGAGGCACAGAAACCCAAATATAAAAAGGCACCCAAGAAAAATGAACTACCTTTTAAAATTAATGAGATTAAAATCTAATATGCAGCAGAGAAAAAACAAATGCAAAGAAGATGCTTAAATGAAAATTTTCAGAAACACGAATTTAAAATTGTAAAAGTACAATAAGTTAGAAATAAACCAACACAAGATCTGCCACTGACAACATCCTTTAAATTCTTGGTTAATGCAGAAAAACCACCATGAAGACATTTTAGGAGACAATGTTAAATTCCCTTAACCAAATTAGGTAAGAGAAAGAAACAAGGAATTTAGAAGAACAGGCCTACAAAATGCCTCTATAGAAATAACATTTAGAAAGAATGAACATAAATACCACACACAAACACACACACATAATGGGGAGAAGTATGTGAGCCAACAAATTTACCACTTCGGAGTTTCAACTCTAATAATTTCTAACATATGTAGCACTGCAATTGGGCCTTAGAATAGTGTAGCCACAGGAGAAGCCAAAGAAGAGAGAGAGAAGTTTTTTTCTTTCTTAATTTTAGCTTACATTTTGTATTTTTTCAGACCTACAATCCTGAAGAATTTTATTCTATATGTTTTGTCATTTAAACAGAATTGACTAAAACATCTTTTCATAACATGCATTTAACTCTTCCATAATATATTCATAACAAAATATGTACATTCTGACAAGTATAGTGCCATCTCAAAATGAATTCAAGATCCACATAAATAAAATTAAGAAAAACAATCACACATGTTGTGCATACAAACATGCATATCTATGTGTTGATGTCGTTTGTGTAAATCAGTTATCATTTAAGTCTACAATGAGTCATGATTTGGAACACAGTTCATTTTTTAAATTGTGAGAATATGCTGAATTTTTTAACATTCTAAGATGTAGGCTGCAGTAAAGACCTATTCTCATTTTCTCCTAGCCTTTTTAAGTAGATTTTTTTAAATGATCATTTTATAAATAAAAATAATTGAAATTATTTCACCTTTAATGTTACGATGACAGCTGCTGGATATGCCAAACCAACCATATGATACGTTTTTCGGTACATCCTAAAAAAGACAAAATGTACATATAAAATTCAAAGTTTTCAACTACTTCTTAAATTTAAGGGAAAAAATTACCCTTGATATGTTCACCTCTTATTAGTTACAGACTCCCTTTGTGTCAACAATGATAACTGTAGTCACCTTTTACTAAGCATCTACAATGTGGCGATGTAATATATTCTCTACTCACAATCACCCTGTAAAGTTAATGTAACTTTAGTTTCCATGCAAAGATACCCTTCCCTGAATTTTATCGTATTAAACGATGCACTGTACTTTGCATATGCAACAAATTTCTAACATGCTACCATATCTCTGACAGCAGAATATACTTGTTTTGTGTCCATTTATATGGCAAAATGTTTAGTCTGGAAGCTAAATGTCATTAAAATATTTCTTTTATATTTTTAAATTAAAATTACAGAGGGGAATATGTAGTGTCATCAGAATTTATATAGCTCCTTTCTTTTATTTAATGATATTGTGGAAATCATATTGGCAAAAATTGTTTAAGTTTGTTCAAATTGTCATTCAATATTATTTAAGAAAGATTATTCTGAAAGAAAACAAGGTTATCCTAATTTCCATAATAGTATCAATAACAAAAGTGGTTTTTGTTTGTTTGTTTTTTGTGTTGTTTTGAGACAGAGTCTCGCTCTGTCACCCAGGCTGGAGTGCAGTGGTGTGATCTCAGCTCACTGCAACTGCTGCCTCCCGAGTTCAAGCCATTCTCCTGCCTCAGCCTCCTGAGTAGCTGGGATTGCAGAAGCGTGTCACCATGCCCAGCTAGCTTTTGTATTTTTAGTAGAGACAGGATTTCACCATGTTGGTCAGGCTGGTCTCAAATTCGACTTTGTGATCTGCCCGCCTTGCCCTCTCAAAGTGCTGGTATTACAGGTGTGAGCCACTGTGTGCAGCCAACAAAAGTGTTTTGTACTGATAGGTAATTTGAAATTTTCCATCTTCTGCTGGGCAGCCCAAATGGCATAAATGAAATATAAGAACCCCCTCCACATGAAAAACAAATCAATATGATAGCCTAGTGTGTGAAATAGCTATAGTGCTTCTATTCAGGACTCTGAAAGAAACATGTTTCCTCCACCAAGACCTGGGAAAAAAGAATGCAATTGATTATTAATCATATCCCTTAATTTTTATGCCAAGTTAGTCCACGACAAGCTATATTCCCAGCCTATATGGCTTTAAATTCTCCCTACAAAAGGCCTGGACAACACCATAAGTTAATTAAGTATCACGATAAATATGGTCAATGTAAGAATGGTCACATGGACAAAATTCTTCATATTTTATAAAACCACTATAGAAGATACTAAATTTTTTGATTCAGTGTTCCTTACGTTAAAAATGCATGGGACATATTACTCCCTATGTAAAAGCTATCATTTATTAAAGATGATCAAAGCTAAGCAATTCATTATGCTTTCCTTTTAAGTCTTGACTAGTTGGAAGCTCAGAATGAAAATACTGTTTTTATTACCTTTCTAGCCTAGGCTTTCTTAATGAAGTGTCTGTCCCTTTTATTCTAGAGACCTTAAGCACAAAGATTTCATGCTTTCACTTTATGTTTATTTTAAATAATTATAAATTATTTTTGGATGTGGGTGATCAGGTAGAATAAGAAACTATCCTACATTTCTATTGAAAGACTTTAGAACAGTTATAGCCAAAGATACTTATACTAATTACTCCATTGATATAGGTATAATTATTCTAATCTTACAAAGCAAGGAACTACTAATCATACTATGTAAGATATAGAATAATTACTATCAACAATGATACTTAGGTGTTTTTTTGTTTTTTGTTTTGTTTTGTTTTGTTGTTTTTTTTTTTTTGCAAGCAGTCTTTTCCACCTATTTCTAGTCATTATTATTAATACTAAAAAAATGGAAGTGCAGAGAAAATGGAAGGATGATAAACAGGGAAAAGGGCCAATATAAAAATCATTCAGGAATAAATTTTAAAATGTTAATTAACATTATCTTGGCTTGACTTCATGGCACAGAAAGGCAAAGAGAGCACACGCTTTGAATCACATGTTAGCCACTCACTGCTGTGTGACCTTTGGAAAACTATTTAATGTCACTCATTTGTAAAATGAGAATAATCATAAGCTTTTTGTGAAGAGTAACTTTTTCTTAATACAAGAAAGCCATATTTTTAATTATTATTGTAACTATTACTTTGCAGTAAGTATCATTGCTTCAAAATCTTACATCTTTAGAGCAGTCTGGCCTCCGTGGGACCTCTGATGCTACTGAGTTTCTTAAACTTGGGATAGATAGAGAAATGAATAGCAATGTACTTTCTCATTTCATGGAATGTAACGGAAGACAAAGAAAATGACCCTTCCAAAAAGATAGCAAAACTTTCCCATTTTCTAATTCTATAATCAGGAATAGAATTCAAGGATGGAAAATTAGAAATAGAAAACTAAGACGGAAAATTAAGATGACCCATCCTTGAATTAGAATCAGCATCAGAGATACTTTAATGCAGTTGCCTCACACTTTAGTAAACAAGTGATATATTACACGTTTCTGAAAAAGGATAGTGAATTTCCTAAGCTCTTAAAGGTGGTCAAAGTCCAGCTGGAAATGTAGTGGATTATTTTTGGAAGTTTCTGTAATAATCACAAAATACAATTTTAAAACTCTTAAAAACAGCATTTAAAGTCCAGGCACCATGGCTCACAGCTGTAATCCCAGCACTTTGGGAGGCCAAGGTGGGTGGCTCACCTGAAGTCATGAGTTCGAGACCAGCTTGGCTAACATGGTGAAACCTCCTCTCTACTAAAAATACAAAAAAAAAAAAAAAAA